GTTCGCCGTCTGCTAGACAGTTTCAGTCAGCATATTACACGTTTTCACGAGTGCTATTATACAATTAACTGTTGGGCTTGCTCTACATGTTTGGCAAAGCTAGAGCGCCTCAGTCAGGTTGATTTGTTTCTTACATTGTAGTTGAGTTAAACCAGCACAGCGGGGGTGAAACGCAAGGCCGCAGTTTGCACACATAATGCCTATTCTGACTTTTCGTGCAAATTGCTGCTCGCCACGTTTGCGGTTAAGTGGAAACAACTCCATTGAGTGCTATTGTTGCACACTCAATTTGACTTTGGCTGGCCACGTTAGGAAGTGGGTGAGTTGTGCTCGCGTTCTTTGTTCCATTCGCGTGCTCGACTTCGGTTACCGTAGGTGGGTTGTCGCGACGTGGACACACATACACGGAGTTTGACTAGCTCATTGACGCACACTGGTTCCTGTAGGACTAGGCATTTGGAATTGGCTTGTATTGGGTACATGTCAGTGAGAAGTGCCGGCTCTAGGCGAATGCAATTGAAACAACAGATTGAGTCTAGTTTCGTTAGCAATGATCCTATGGATGTAATTCTAGGACCACCAGATAGCACAGAGCATTCTAGATCGAGCACAATGTCACCGCGGTGAAAACTGTGAAAAACAACAAGGGGTGCGTCTGGATAGAAGCACGAAGCGCGGTAACACCACTTGGGTAGCAGAAAGCACTTTCCATAGGAAATAATTCCGTAGATATATGCTCACTTAGCACGGCGAGTTTTTCCGATTCGAATGAATGTATGATGACTACGCTAGTTAAAGAATAGGACATGAAACTGTGACAGAGGGAGCACGTTTACTATGGGACCAGTCAGGCGTGGGGCATGGCTCCTGATATGTATAGCTGACGGCCCCGCAGACCAAGTTGAATTATTATGTAAATTCAGTTAAACCCACAGGAACATCCATTTTTGCATACAACCTGAGTCATTTGTAGGTATGGCTTTTCCGGCTGTTCCATTGTCACGGCAATCAGATGGCTCACTGCAGCGTGAAATCCACCGGAAAGCGATGCGGGCGTGTCAGTATACGCAGTTCGATAGCTTTGTATCTATTCGACAAAAATAAAACATAGTCCGGCTTCTTTTGGGAAGAGCGATGAAAATATGCTCCGAGGACACAATGAAAGCAGCACACGCCACAGTAAAAAACCTGTTCCTTAATAACGGCTTACCCCAAGCTTTCGATTATAGGAATATGCAAATTGTCTGTGTGGTCGCCAAAAGGCCCATAGTAGGAAAGTGACCTGTTTACTTGTTGTTGCCATTCAAGAGAGACAACACTCCCGATAACCTTAAAAACGATTACGAGCGGCCCTCATTAGCACTTACGGGGCCGCACAGTTACGCATTATCTTCATATCACCGCCCATACTACAGCTCTGGCTGACGAATAAGCTGTCTGTGGATGTCACCTCCTGAGCGTACTAATTTACCTGTTCCTGTGAGACATGTTACATAAGTCACACCACGAGACGTTTGTCTGAACGCCTCCGCGAACAACACCCATCGTGGCTAAGCTGAAGGTTGAGCAAAGCCTGTACCACCGCGATAGTCGCGCATTTAGTCCAAAGGAGTAATCCCGTCGTTATCTCTAAAGTCTTTTGACCGATTTACCGCGTGAGTGGTGTCCATTCTAAGCTTAGCAGAAGCCAAATCCTTGCATTGGCGGAGGCGATCGCGATTCCTCAGAACAATCTCCCGTTGTGTATGCACAAACAGCGCGTCAATACTTTGGCTTTACCATGGCTAGTTGTTGTCCGGGTAGCTTCCGCATGAACAAATCACACCCACTTTGGACATTCTGACACCTTCCTTTGCCACTGACTCAATCCATCCTTTCTTATCCTTACTATTTAAATGATGTTGTTATCCTGACAATATTTCACCGAAAACGAGCTTGTTTGCTATACCGTCTTTCAAAAATCATTTGTTCAATCCCTCTGTTTGCCCTATCGGAACAGACATCAACATAACCGTTAGTCTTACATAGGTTCCGACAGCGATTGCGCAACCGAAATCGACTTGTGTGAACTTGGCAGCGGCGAATTTCCTCTCTTGTCCTAACGAATCGTACAGAAGGGACGGCGATGTGTCGACATGCTTGATGTATTTGTTGTATGCCTGTTGACGCTCGGAAGCACACGTTTTTACTTCAGAACTGGGGTGTCTACGTCAGCGGTTTGAGCTCTCTCTGATCCACTTTGTGACCAATTATTATCACCTGAATTTTCCATAGCTGCGATTTAGTTCCATGTATCCGTAATCCAGAATGCTGGGTTGATTAGGACGTTGCTTTCGGAGAACGGTTGTGCTGTGTCTCCGATCAACTATACAGCCTGATATTGTATCCGCACATGGCCGCATTCTCTGAGCCATCCAAGTATGCAGCATCGATGACGGAAGCTAAACGGGTCACCATACAACGCAGACAACGTCCAGTTAACTTGTACTGCTTTTCGTCGACTGTAAACGCCGTCTCCCAGTCTTCGCGTTTAATCGCCAGTTGGCATTAGCTAGATTTAGGTCCAGCACCGTAAAGATTTGTGACTACTGCTTTCAGACAAAGATATCTGCGATCAAAGGTATCAGGGCAAAATAAGTCGACGAGACTTTATTCAACTTTATGAGGTCCAAACCCAAAAACAGTTCCTCCTGTTGGCGTGCTTCACCAAAGCCACTAGATACATATACTGGCTGTGAGCCTGCTTTACTAGATCGGTACATTATCTCTCACATTAGCATCCATACCTCCGCTTCCAAATGAGTTGATGCTTTCCTGGGTTCATCGGTCGTTATAGCTAACGCGATAGTGGAATTGTGGGTCCAATCAAATCATAAAACCCGTAAGATTTACTACGTTCCGTATAAAGGTTTAATTTCCTGTTAAGCGATTTCAACACTAAATGTGCATGATAAACAGCAGCGACCGAATAAGACCCTGTAGAACCTTCTCTACCTATCTTTTATAGTCATCTTTCCTCATTTCAGGTTAACGATGGCGATTTGAGTTGGCAAATGTCGATCCCAGGATGGTCTGTCTTGCGTTGTGTGACGTGACAAATAAGTAAAGCAGCTGCTGCCCCCTGATTCAAACGATGCGCTTCGCCATCCCATTTAGGTAAACTTCCTAGCTTCCAACAGTCCACGCAAACATAGCTCACGATTGCAGTTGTTCGCCACACCTATTACCAATGAGGGAAGTTGCCAGACTCGTGTCAATCAGTTAGTTTTCCATCGTACCTTCTACTTCCATCATCGCTTCAGTCACTCTCTTAATCAGTGCCTAGAGAACGCATCTCAGGACACGATAAGGAAAACAAAAGTAAACATCTTCATTTAAGACAAGGGGCGCAGCACCCGCAGCTGAACACCGTCACTTTTAGTGCCCCAGTTTTCTACTGGGGAAGTAACATATATTTGATCGCTCCTCTGAGCACCGAACAGGAAGTGCATTAATGTATTGGGCATACCGATCCATTCTATCCACCCGTTCAAAGTCTTCATCGTCATCCTCCACCAAAGTCTCGAGTTGTGCGTCACCCATCACACGGATCATCTCGGCCAGATCCTGTACCAGCAAACCCCGGTGGTGTTTGTAATCCGGACTTGTTCGTCCTTCGTCTGCAGGAGATTATCCAGGAACCGGTTCATCAGACTTTGTTGTCCCAAACCTACGTCTACTCCGGGTAATGCGCTACCAAGCAAGCCCCTAAGTGTATTAGTTCTTGCTCCAAATCGAGCCACCTCATTGCACTCTGGAGATTGGCCAAGCTGACGAACCCAGCCAGCAGCACCTCCATTACGGCGGCTAAATCCAACCTGGAAGGACCTTCTTTACGCGCCTCCAAGACTGCCTTCGTCTATCCCTTGATTAGGCTTCGCGTGGCCGCCAGCATCCTCCGTTTGGCCTTTACTCCAAACGCCTCTGCCACACCCTCGGATTCCTCCAGGGAGCCTCATGCATCCCATCTTTCAAGGGCGCCTCTGCCAGTGCGTCATGTACTTCCTCGGTTAATCACGGTCCCAATGTAACAACCGAAGGGTTTCGAATAAGTTATCCGATTGGCAACGAGCGCCCAGTATATGCATCAGTTCTAACTACTGACGCTTCCACTCAACTGCGAGCTCCTTTCTTAGATTTTGCGTTTAGCGCTTCTCTTCCAACCATTGTGCTTTTGTATTTATTCCCGACGCATATCTATCTTGTGTTAGGAAAGTCGGTTTGGTCCGTTTCTGAACCATTACTTCAGGTTTACCTATTACTCCTATGCTATTGTCCCCATACGCCGGAGCTCCTTTGGTTCGCCCAACTTACGGCGAGCCGACACTACAATCTTTTACGACTACCGAGAAGGACTGCGCAACCGCTTGATTCCGCATTAAGAACATAGGAAGCGAAGGCCACAGCGCAACGTGTATTGATACAAAGACCGGGGGAAAACAGGAGGAAACACACCAGAACCAGGCCGTTACAGTCGAATGCACATTTGGTTAAATAGGACCCCGGAGGCACAAGCGGTGTGGATTTTGTGTGAAACAGGCGACAGGAACAAATGTACTATAATTCAAAAACGCAGTGTTCGGCTGAGGGGCACGAATTGTTCCGACACAAAACATGGTTTTGTCTTGTAAAATAACACACGCTTTCTGAACAACTCCACGTTCCGTTTGTGTATAATTACAAAAAAATCCAAGCAATCCTCCTGGCACCAGCCAAGTTACACTTCATGGACATTTCGCTACTCTGGGTTCCCTTATGATACTACACAATCAATTAGCTTTCGACTGTCAGTACTGACTTTTTGTATTATTGTGAGCACATAACAAATTGTTTTAAGATAGTCATCACACCCTTCATCCTCTTAATTTTATTGTTGCTTATGAGAATTACTTCGCTTCGTACCCGCTTGCTGGTTTCATAATATCTTTCACACGCTGACTTTCCATTCGACGCCTACTTAGGAACAATGCGTTGGGAGATTCAAACGTGAGCTGGCTGCTACAAAACTAAAAAGTGTGACGGGTGAAGGACCGAAGTTGTTGGTACCTCGTGTTTGGGCCAACCCGCGCAACTTCAATTTTGACAATATTGGTAATGCAATGTTGGCTTTGTTCGAAGTCTTGTCTTTGGAAGGCTGGGTTGAAATCCGTGATGTTATCCAGGAGCGAATCGGACCGGTACGTTCCACACATACTTGGAAATTTCGAACAAAATGCCAGTTATTTCCGATTTGCACGATCGCCAATGCACGTTTTCCCCGAATGCATTCGATACGGGAATCAGTCTGAACGAAACCTTTCGATCTACCTATCCATTGTTTTATTTAGAGAGATTGGCGTACTATCTTGTACCTCGGTTGACCTGAACATTGAAGTTCTGTTTACTTATTCGATTAGGTGTTCTATGGCGCCTTGAACTTCTTGAAGTTTGAATATGCATCATTTTTTCTATTAAACTGCTACTCTGTATCCTGTTTTTGTATTAAGAGCATGAAACCATTCAGTCAGATACCCCTTCGATACCGAAAACAACACTCGCTCCAGTCCGAGCCTGTGATCACTTTGTTGTTAGGATATAGATAATAACTCCACCTGGATAGTGTGCTATCGAAAACCATTGAAATCAAGTGAAGGAACAGTTGTCGTAAATAAAAAGCCAAACACAACACAGAACAATCCATGGTTTCATCATAAGGCGTGGTGTTACCCGACTGCCCAAGCTTGAGTAGCGAGTTGACTTGGGGGGATGAGCCGTTTTCCTCGGATGAATAATCAACCAGCCATACCTCCTTCGCATACAAGCAGAGAATTTTGACTCCAAAGTTGTTTTTGATGTTGTAGTGATGCACTAAAATTCTTCACATGGTAAACGAAAGATTGTAATCGTTGATCATCAGTTATGCAGATGGAAACACGTGTACATAATTATATGCTTCTCACATATGTACACCTCGTCGACGCAGCAAATTTCTTGTTTTACCTGATATGACCCACGTCCATTGGTGGCCACAAAACACAAGCATACTGCCCTCAAAGCTCTTGCAAGACTCCTGGTGGATTTAAACATGCACGGTTCAACAAGCTGGCGGTTTTCTTTAAACTTACATATTCCACCCGGACCATCCTACGATAATTGTCAGTCCTATTTTCTACTCGTATTACACCATTATTCCGTTGTTCCCTTGACTTGACTCTAAGGCATCATTTCATTCGGTGGGAACCGGTTATTGAGATTCGGTTTAATCTTTCCAAACGAGGCCCAATAACTGTGGTACAAAATCGAAGTTGTACCGCGCACATGCTACAATTTCTGGAACCTATTCAAGAAGATGATCTTCGGGTCTCCATTTATGGTGATATGAACGCCGTAAATACCCCAGGTTGGTATCATCGTCATCAACATCATCATCACCACCTCTATCATAAAAGAGGGGGTAAAATCATGGTGCGCCAGATTAGTACCCCTCAAATGCCGGAAAGCTGGACCAGGCAAGCCACACTGGTTTGACAAGGAGTATGGCAAACTGGCTCGACGGCGACGCCGGCTATGGAATAAATTCGTGCGATCTGGCTCTACCGAGGATTACGAGGCGTTTAAGAGGCAACGAAATGCCTGCAACAGCGCTAAAAAGAGCATATGCCGATGCTTCGAAGAGCAGCTTGCAACCGCAGCTGAAACAGCTCCTAAGAGGTTCGCTGTATATGTGAACTGACGCCTGAAGCCGACAGGTGATGTGCCTGTCTTGGAGGGCTTGGACGGACAGCCCCTAGTTACCAATATTGAGCGTGCTTTCGCCTTGGCGGCGCACTTTGCTTCCGTTTTTGCAGATAACCAGACATCCGTAGCGAGTTTGACACATGTCACCCATACCGATTTGGATAGGCTGGATTGCCGCGTTGGGCATGTGCCGAAATTGCTCCTCAGTCTTGACGGTACCATGCCTTCCGGGTCTGATGAGCTCCATCTGCTGATCAGCAAATCTCTATCGGCCATCATCTCGCCTTCGCTGACTGGGCTATTCAACAGGCCGCTGTCCGCCGGTTCATCGTCGACCGACTGGAAATGCTCAGTTGTGAAACGGATTCCGAAAAGCGGCGGTCCGAGCAAAGTGGACAACTACTGACCGATATGCCTGATCTCTGTTTAGGCTGACACTAGAGAAGATCGTAAAGCATCTCGAGTCGAAAAGCATCTTGACGCCCGCGCAGCATGGTTTCATGAAAGGTCGATCATGCATCACAAACCTGCTGCTCTCGAGGCAAGAATGGTTGCAAGGGCTAAAGCAAGGGAACTCGGTTGACGTCATTTACATGGACTTCAGTAAAGCGTTTGACAAGGTGAACCATGAGATCCTCCTACGGATGTGTGTTGGTGGCCCACTGCCACAGGGGATCAGGAACTTCCTAATTGATCGGACTTGGGGGTGCAGGTGGACAACCACTTGACTGGATGGTATCCCTCGACCAGTGGCGTCCTGCAGGGAACAGTCCTTGGGTCCGTTTTGTTTCTTATCCACATCAAAGATTTGCTTCAGCTTCTCAGTTCACCTTGCGTTTTGTTTGCGGATGATCTTAAGGTATGGAGGATAATTGAGGCACCCGAGGATTGTGACCTGCTTCAGCGTGACCTTGGCCGCCTCTCCATATGGTCAGCAAAGGTCAATCTTCCGATCGACCTGGTCAATTCGGTATTCATGAGTCTGGGCATGGGTGATTAATGGCCGAGTCTACAATCTGGTCTGCCGGCAGTTACACCCCGCGTCATCCGTGATAGATCTCGGCGTGCTCTCATGCTGCGATTTGAAATCCGTCGAAAACACGAACAGGATTTACGAAAACGGCCTGCGCATGCTCTGGGCGCTCAAACGCAGCTTCAGCACTTGGTCCAAAGAGGTTGCAACCCATCTCTTCTTCTTTATCATCAGACTGTTGCTAGAATACAGTTCACCCGCCTAGTGTTCGCTCACCCGGAGCGAGGTACAAAGGATTGAGCGGGTACAGCATGTTATCACAACGCTCATCCCCGGTTTGCGATATGTGCCATAAAAAGACCGATGCAAGAGATTGAGGTCGTACACTCTGTCTTATCCTCGAATGCGGGTTGACCTCATCATGATGAGCCGGATATTACATCCGGGTGATTACCTTTATGTTGAGGCCGTTGCTGCATCTACGCACAGCAAGCAGCACACGAGGGCACCGGTACAAGCTTGTGGTAGCGGATTTGAAGCGAATCCCTCACCAACACTGCTTCCAGCGCAGACTGCCTGCAGACAGTCGAAGCAACGTCGGTGTCGTAGTTCAAGAAATTCTTGGACTCGCACTTTGTCGGCTTGAGATTTCGAGAATCATAACAATAACATTAGGTAGGTTTGTTAAAATAAATTAGCCGCAGCTGCACAAATGCAGCTCTACTTACTGCATATCCTCAGTATTCAGCATTCATTAACATCATCATGCTCGTCATCATGACTATCATCATCTCGACTGCGGATAGCGCCATCCTGGTCGTATTATCCTCATGTCCACCTCAGGCCAATTTACCTCGTTCTTTACATTGTTTAAGTCGTTTTATACCACGAATACTTATGTAATCCACTGACATTAGTGATTTAGAATTATTTCATCATAATACATGTGCTAGTTGATTGTATGTAGGGTGATTTTACATTACGTTGATTTCGTCGTATCGATCATTAGCTACTTTTAAAATGATAATGCACCCAACTTGTGGTAGTTGCTCCAAAGTCGTTGAAAATCGCGCAAATGCGATTACATGCAGTTTATGCAGTGTGAGGTTTCATATTTCGTGCATATGTCTGTGGACCGATTTCGCGTAATTGAAGGGATTCATCACGACGTTTTGAAGACAATATCAATCTAAACTTAGGCAGAAGGTAACCGAAAAACATAACGAGTGACTCTGTAGAGCGAAGTGCGCTGAAACGCGCAGCTGGATTTGTCTTGCACCACAATCAGAGAAACAGCTGCCACTAGGCAAACTCGGCTACAACGCCTACGATTCCTTCAGTTGAGCCTAAGTACCTAATGTACAATAAACCAATTGGTGATAACGCATGGAACAAGCAAATACCACAAAAACTGAGAACGAGATCCAGCGACCTGAGGTGCCGCAGTCTCATGGTCTTTCACGCAATAGGATACTGTTATTCCAATCCTTAGGTGCGGTATGAACATGACGTCGAGTGAGAGGACTGTCCTGTTCTCCGAGCCGGACATTTCTGTTGCAGACGTTTCGTTACCAAACTAGGCTATTCAGTCCTGATTGGCGGAGTCTCGCAGACCAATGCCAGATCCGAATGACTATTGATTGTTGCCTGCTTCGAATGTCAGTCTTCGATCAGTTCACGTGAGTCGGTCGAGTGGGCACGTCTTCTCCATGTCGATCTGGTGCCTATTGCCGGTTTAACCTGCAGAGCTTCATAGACACCCTCTAGATCCAGGCGTTTGTTGGTTGAGTCCCGACCAGAATGCCAGACCTCGAGGAACCCACACGCTCTGCGGTTTCTTGCTTTTCCAAGTGTTTCAACCTTCTCCAGCTCGAACTGATGGTCCTCGACATCCATGTGTACTGACCTTAAGGATTTCTTATCGTGGCGGCGGATGGCCAGACTATGTTCGTGCAGTCTTGTGCCAAGTTTTCTTCCAGTCTGACCAATATAGTACTTGTCACAGTTCTTGCAGGAAATTTTGTAAACTTCACCTGATGTTTCTTTCTTAGACAGTTGGTCTTTTACCTTAAAAAGTTTACCTCGTATGGTTTCCGTTGCTTCATGTGCAACCTTTATCCCGTGAGGCATTAGAAGCCTCGCTGCCATTTCAGAAATTCTATAGATGTAATGTAGGATATTCGTTCTTCTTTCTGTTGCACATGTGGACGCTGGTTGTGACTGGCTCTTCGACATCAGACAGCGTAGAATAAAGCTTCTAGGGTAGAAATTTCGCTGAAACATGCTAAATAGGTGGTCCTCCTCCGCCTTCCTCAGTTGCTGCGTGCTACAGTGCGTCTGGGCCCATTTGAAAAGAGTCATCACGCAACTTCGCTTGTATATGGTCGGATGGTTACTGTGATAAGTTAAGATCTGATCGGTGTGGGTTGCTTTCCGATAAACTGTTGTTTCCAGTGATCCAGAAGCATTTCTTCTCACGAGCACGTCCAGGAATGGCAACTAATCATTATTCTCTTCCTCTTTGGTGAACTGGATGCCAGAACAATTATTGTTGATTAGTTGATGTGTTTATTGTAGTCTGGAGCGTTTGATGATGACAAAAGTATCGTCTACGTAACGTACTCAAAGTTTAAGATCCACTATTGGCAATGCGTTCTGTTCCAAGCTTTGCAACACTGCCTCTGCTACCAGTCCAGAGATTGGCGATCCCATTGGCGTACCCGTTATCTGTTTGTACATTTGACCATTGAAAGTGAAATGTGTGGTGAGACAGAAGTCAAGCAACTCCATCATTTGTGTGGCTTCAATCCGGTTGCTGGTATTTACCGCTCCGTGTTGTTCAAGCAGAGTCCTCATCGTTTGCTTCGCCAGCGTCATGTCAATTGATGTGAACAACGCTGTAACGTCAAAGGAGACCATCATCTCCACCATTATCTCCATTGTTATTCCCTTAAGTTTTTCAAGGAATTGTTCTGCCTACTGGATTGAGTGCTCTGAGCCTACGATTAGGTGTTTCAACCGTTTCCAAAGTTCTTTAGGCAGCTTGTAATTCGGTGCCCCGGGTAATGACACGATAGGGCGAAGCGGCACCCCATTTTTGTGTACTTTAGGTAGGCCGTAGAACCGTGGTAGCACTGAATCCTCGGGTTTCTTCTTCCTGTGTTCTAACTTCGTGATCTGTCCCATTTGTTTCAGTCTTCGAAATGTTCTGTTGACCTTGCTTTCCAGCGAAAGCTCTGCAACAACGCGAAAACAAAAAACGTAGAAGCTTCGAAAAGCAGCTTTGCAACCGCCGCAAAAACTGGTCCCAAGCGGATCTTCGCCTACGTGAAGCGGCGCCTGAGGTCTGCAGGCAATGTTCCAGTGCTGGAACACTCAGATGGACAGCCCCTGCCCTCGAGCACAGATCGTGCGTCCGCATTGGCTGCACACTTCGCCTCCGTATTCTCAAGTGACCAGGTGTCTGTAACAAGTTCGACGAGTACCGCTCCTGCCGAATTAGACAGTCTAGACCGCAGTATTGAAGATGTACGCCAGTTTCTAGCAAGTCTTGACGAGCCGAAGCCTGCTGGGCCAGATGGAATCCACCCACTGATTCTCAAGTCCCTATCGGCCATCATCACGCCTTCTGTAACTGAGCTGTTCAACAGGTCACTATCCACTGGAACATTACCGGGCAACTGGAAATGCTCAGTCATAAAGCCAATAACTACCGGCCGATCTGCCTGGCCGCTGTTTTGGCATAGACGCTTGCGAAGATCGTGAAGAAGAGCCTTCTGCAACTTGTCGAGTCGAAAAGCCTCTTGACCCCCGCACAGCATGGTTTCGTGAAAGGTCGCTCATGCATCACCAACCTACTGTTGACGAGGCACGAATGGTTGCAAGCGCTGAACCAAAGCTAATAGATCGACTTCATTTACATTGACTCCAGTAAGGTTTTTGACAATGTAAATCATGCAGTGCTCCTCGACAGGCTAAGGGTGTGCGGTGTTGTTGGCTCGCTGCACCAATGGATCAGGAATTTCCTTGTTGATCGAAAGTGGAGGGTCCAGGTGGACAATCATTTAATTGACTCGTATCCATCGAGCAATGGCTTGCCCCAAGTCACTGTACTGGGGCCGTTTTTGTTTCTGATCCATGTAAACTATGTACCTCATCTAATCCGTTCACCTTGTGCGTTGTTCGCAGATGACTTCAAGGTGTGGAGAGTAATCCGCACACCCATTGACTGTGACTTGCTTCAGCAGGACCTCTACCAGCTCTCTACGTGATCTGCAGACGTCAACCTTTCGATCAACCCGGTAAAGTTGCAATTCATGAGGCTGAGTAAATGTGATCACAGTCCAACCCACAGGTCCACCTTTGCATCCCGCGCCTTTCGTGCGCCACCTCGGTGTACTCTCACGAATAGGCTTTATCAAAACGGCCTTCGAATGCTTTGCGTGCTCTGGCGCAGCTTCAGCACTTGATCCGAGGAGATTGGCACTCGACTCTTTGTCTCGATAATACGACCAATGATAGAGTATGGCTCTCCTGCGTATAGTCCTTTCGCCCAGGGCGAGGTAGAAAAGATTGAGCGAGTGCAGCACGTGGCCACCAGGCTGATTCCCAATTTACGAGGTGTGTCGTACAAAGACCGGTGTAAGAAAGTAGGGATTTATACCCTAGCTTCTCGTCAACTGCGGTTGCCCTCATCATGACGCACTGGATATTACATCCCTGTGAATATCCCATTTTAAGGCCGCTGCTGCATCTGCGCACACCAAGCAGCACACAAGGACACCGTTACAAGCGTATAGTAGCGGACATGAAGCGGGTCGCTCACCAACTCTGTTTCGAACGCAGAGTTATGAATGTATGGAACAACCTGTCGCAGCACGTAGTTGAGACAACGTCCATGTCGGAATTTAGGAAATTCCTGCACAAACACTTCGCCGAATTAAAATATATCGCGCGTGCTGCAACATAACGGGTCTTTGTACTTAGGTGATAGTAGTTACAGCTACACAGTGATATCTCTTCTTTTTGAATTTAACCAATAATCAGTAATAATCCGCATCATCTTCCTCGTCCTGATTATCATCATTGTTGTATTTTCCGCTGAAGGTACTCATAACCTGCCAGAATCTGTTGTGCCGCCCCCCAACAGCCCAACCCCGCAGGAAATGTGAACACCAAAACCAGCTGGACCAAAAGTTCGGATTCGTATTGTATGAGAGCATAGCACAATAAATAGGTTGTACGCAACTACTAACCAAACAATATTAGAAATGCTAATTAATAATAATGAACACAACTCAAACGGTTCAAGTTCATGGTCCAACTTGCCGCTGATCCCACATAGAATCGCGTTTTGATCTCTAAAGTTTGATCTCCAATTGTACATCGATCCACTATTGCGTCACTGCTCTCGGCTTGCTCGCTAACTGTCAGCTTTCTCTCCGTAACAATCATCATCATCATCATCATCCACCTTATCAGCATCCACATCATCATCATCATCGTCGTCGTCGTCGTCATCATCATCAACATATTCCGCATCCTCATCATCAGCATCAGTCATAATCATCATCGTCGTCGTCATCCTCATCGTCATGGTCATCATTCTCATACTCACCATCACCAGCATCAGTCATTATCCGCATTATCATCTTCATCTTCATCATCCACATCCACATCATCATCATCCTCATCATCATCATCATCATCATCCCCATTATCATCCTTGTAACCATCATTATGATGATGATGATGATGATGATCATGCGCATCCTCATCCTCATCTTCGTCGTCGTCTTCCTCATCCTCCTCATCGTTATGATCGTCATCATGAAATCCCGTGGGCGTCCTGGAAATACAACACATCATATTTGGCGGTGCTGTTTGGCCTTATGTTTATTTCTGTCCGAACGTTTAACGAAGGGACGTCAAAGGCAGTTTTTAATTAAAAGTTGCTTTTAGTACACTGTTAACACAAATTGTGAGGTCACTAGAGGTCATGTGCTACCGAAGCGGCGATGATGTATGATATTTGTGATAGTTATGATATTTATGATAAACAACGTCGAGGACGTTTGTTGGTTTGTGATTTTCTCCGTACACTATTAGCGATGAAATTTTTTTCGATACGATTTATCTCTTGCCTGTGACTCACTCATCTGACCTATAATAATGTTGGCTGATGATAGTTTATTTGGTGGACTGTAATCGCTGCCGTTGGCAAAGTACTAAGAGGAGTTCGTTGAAGGCGTTACGCAGTTTCAAGTGTACCTGTTCGAGATTGATCACACGTAGCCTTGGAAAATTCAGGACGGCCTTTAATTGTGGCCTTGTTTTATCTTTAACCACAATGATTCGCAGGTCCTTGCTGTTAGGCGCACGAATTATTGACCTGTGGTTTCCTGGTCCACAGTACATTGTACTAAATCAATGAGCAGTCGTGTATATTTCCCACGATCCGGAGTTACTCATGTCTCTCGTAGCCTTCCTCCATCAACTTGATGTCTGACTTTAGAGTTCAATCCCATTGCTTGTTTTTGAAGTCAGAACATCGCCTATCTACCCAGACTCTGTTTGCCCTTCAGTTTTCGGTTGTGAGAGGCTATGACACTCTCAGGGGTGTAAGCAAAATTATCTCAGTAAATGACGAAGGTTTGCAGTTTTATGCACTTGGAATGTGTACTACCATCTTATAGGAGCAGGAATAAGGCGTCTGCTTTGAACTGCAAAGGTCGCCGTTCTGAACCTGCCTAATGGCGAGCGAATTCGCAGCATCCCCAGCCCACGTGTGATTGGTGGTGGTCGTGTCGCAGCGCCGGCGCACTGCTGGTACCTTTTAGGGAGTTGCCCGCTGGGCAAATAATTCGCAAATGCTATGCGAGGAGGGCCAGTTCTTGCTTAACCAAGTTACCCGAAAATTCGCAGTTTTTACATATTGCGCACTTGGACATTCTCAGGTTTCTCATTTTGTAAATACTTGGATTTGCATTGTCGTGATGTATCACTCATACTACTAGAAAATTATCACGGATTACTTCGCCTGGGCAGTCCACGTCTTTCACCCTGTTAGTACCCTATAAAATTTTCACTGCCTACTTTCTGCTGGCTTCACATTACTTTGCAGTTGTTTGTTATTTATTTGTCATGCTCCATGACTGTTTCTGCTCAACGTCAAAACAGATAATTCGGTTATTACTTAGCAAGGTCTTTTTGCGTATAGATTACACGAGTCACTTACTTGGCATATGATGCTTCAAACCCATTCTTCGTTGTAGCGTCACACGATTTACATCCATCTGTTTGTATTTATCGGATGTCTCATTGGACTCACTTTGTTCGTCGGGGTGGTGGTCGCAAATTACAGCGAGAATAAAGTGAGTATCAACCAAATACTATTTCCACGATAGGCTAAAACCATGAGCATATTTTTAGCTAGAACCGTTTTCCAAATAAATAAATAACTCCTTTAATTCTCGACGATGCGCGAGATTATTCCCACATAGGGATGAATGCCTTACAAAAATACGTACAACTAAAATCCTGCTACGTACGAGTATCATAGAAATCAAAATATTCACAGATTTTTTCGTTTAGTCCTATCTACATATTAGGTGAGAATATACATTATGTTATGTCCATGTCAATTTCCCACATGCTGGTTCATTGGATTGTAGAGAAAAGGAGGAAACTCCTTTTGTCAGCTTCTTCACTTCCCGATCATTGCATGGATACCGTGAGTCGCTGCGGGACGGTATTCCGCAAGGGGCCGTAACAGCTACATCGGAAGAAGCAAAGTCCCAGCTTACTCATCAAGTGAGAATCCAAAAAGCGCTTGAAACATTCCTCAGTCTGTGCGTCGACAACATGTTTCGGCAAGTCGTTCCAGTCATTTACAATGCGGGTTGATAGAGCGAGAGTGGAGCGAACTCCGAGTCTTTTGGGTTTAAATAGTTTCCAGTTGTGCCCTTGCGTGGAACTATTAGCGTTGACCTGAAAGAACGCTTGTAGCTCCATCCCCATCTCCCCCCTCAGAGTTCGCCTAGTAAAAATCAGATCACCTCTACGTCGATGATATTCCAGGGAGAACAGGTGCATCCGCTGTAGCCGAAGAGATTAAGGCAAGTCCCTTAACTCCAGTATGGATTTCGAAGCACGCCGCTGGACCTTCTCAATCATGTCACACTCGAATTTGGTAACAGGACAGGTGGCGGGTAGTCCATATTCAAGAATCGGGCACACATGGGAAGTAAACCAGATTCTGAAGATTTCCGGAGTCAGTCGCTAGAAGGCTCTTCGTATGGCATGGACATCCTGTTGGCAGCGGCAACCCTCCGTAGTGTATCTTCTGTGTCACATAAATCATGTGAGACAAGCACACCCAGATTTTTCTCAAGAACGGTGATTCTGAGTAACACCCCACCAATATGCTATAGCCCGAACGGTTCAGTGGCGCTTATGGTGAGAAGTGAGCATTTTTCACGATTTATGGGCAATCGCCAGTTGACTGACCAGTCGTGTAGCATGACCAATGATGCCCGCAATTTGACCGTATCCTAGAGACAGGATACCTCCATCCACAGCTTCATGTCATTAGCGTAAATCAAGTAATCCATCTGAAGCTCCGATAGGAGGCCATTGATGAATATCTTGGACAGTTCTGGACCAAGTACTGACTTGCAGAACACCGTTAGTCAGGAGCGGAGTAGGCTTCATTCACTTTGACTCGCATGGTCCGGCCATCCAAAAAATCAGCGATTCAAGAAAGGACATTCCCAGGGACACCGGTACCTCGGAGTTTAGGAAGGAGCCTTTCATGGGGAACCTTGTCAAACACCTTGTTGAAGTCTACTAAAACCACATCCAGGCATTTCCCAGCATCTAACGACCTCACTAGCAACAAGCAGGTTCGAGGTACATGAGGGTGCCCGCCGAACGCCATGCTGAGCACAAGAGATGATGTTTAGGTCCTCAAATGGAAGCTGCATGGTGCGCTTGAGAATCTTCTCCATTAACTTGCACAGTACGGACGTTAGGCAGAGTGGTCGATAGCTTTCAGGATCTTGACGATTCCCTTCCTTGTATATAGGTTTAACGGTCCGCAATTTCCAAGCAACCGAGAGTCGTCCAGCTTCCAGGGAGTAACGAAATATCTTACAGACGGAAGCAGCAATGTAGTCAGCCACGGTCTTGAGGAACAGCGGGTGCAACCCATCAGGACCTAGCGAGGAGTTCGGATCTAATTCACGAAGGCTTTTGGCAACGTCACCTACACTCATTTTTATGTGCTGCAACGAAAAGGGGTGGATTGGCGCAGTGTCACCAGATAACAGCGTCTCTATCAAGTAGACAGATGAATACTTCAGAGCCAGCAGATTGGTTTTCGTCTCATCGTCGTCAAGTAAACTTCCCTGCTCTGCGGAAAACAGGGTAAGAATGCCACTACCCGCTTTGGTCCTTCTTTTCAAGTAAGAGTAGAGGGCCTTTGGTGTCGTCCTGGGTTGCACAGCCAAACTGAGTTCATACTGATGCCGTTTCTGACCATTTTTCAGGATACAGGCATTTTTAGTCAATTTATACTCCGAATAGTCAATCAAGTAGTGAGTGAGCTTGTATCAGTTCCATAATTTACGTCTTTTGGATATTAAGCACCTCAATTCTCAGTCTATCCATGGAGTTCCTCCGGTAGATGTACTCCTTTTACAAATTGGTATTGTGCTCAACAAGCAAAATCATCTTGGAGCACAGAAGGTTGTTCATGGTGAAGTTCGGAAGATTGTGCTGAGGTTATATCCTCCGTTAACGGACGTCCCGTCGATCTGGACCAGCGCGGTCTAACCAGAAGGCGGCAATGGGTCTTTCGTTGATGAGTCATTCTTTCAAACATCCGCTAACGCGCAATCCAACTTCATCGATCGATTAAAATCTTCAGAAGTCCCAGTTTGTAGTGGACTCAGGGAGAAAACAAAATAAACAATAATATCAAGGCAGGTAAGAAACTGCTATAAAAGGATTACGGTAAAAATAAAGAAATCTTCAATATCTGGCAAAACATAATCCAAACAGATATACATCAGTTTGCAAGGACTACATAAACTTTGGCAAGCCTTCTTGTAATTTCCTTAGTTGTTGTTTTGGAACATCTAAAAATGCGGAAAGCGGAAATGCGGAAAGCCTTTCCCTGCGAGAAAAATACTTCAGAGTGAAACGAAGATTCTAATAGCAACAGACTCTGGCGTTAAGTACAATGTGAGCGGAAGGTGCATCAAGGAGCCGGGCTCTAACCAATGGTGGGAATTTTGTTACGGGCCAAAATGTAATGGAACAGCTGGAATCAAGTGGGCAATCGGGAGACGTAGGAATTCATTATTAAGGCTTCAATAATAACACGGAATGTACTGTATATGGTTATAAAATAGTACTATAACGTAGCGTTTGTAGTAAAGTAGTTTACCTTAGCCATGGTAACATGTCCCCGGAAATTCTAAAGGGAGTAATGTAACGTAACTCCTCGATCGGCGTAGGAGTGTGAGCTAGGGAAGCGAACGCGGAAAGCAAATCAATGTAGCCGAACGCGGCACCGAACTAATTACGACGGACGAACAACACGAAGAAGACACGCAGTCACCGGACAGTCACCTGAGTCGTAGTACCGAACGCGCGACGCAAAGAACAACCGAACGCCGCACAAGAACATTTATTCCAGAACCGTCAAACCGAATACGTCTTACAAACGGGTTTATACAAATAACCAATGCGCAGTACAATGCAGCCAAACCTGAGGTATAAAAATCAAACGGTAACGAATGTTCGGTTCACTGAGGCTAACTAACATAAGATAGATAGACAATAAACGTAGCGATTCAGTTAAACAATCCAGTGTGGTTCCTATTGCATTACAGTAATTGCATCGAAGTACTGATGTACCGAGGGATTGTGAAACAGTGTAATATCTTAGCCCCATAATAAACGTAAGCCCATTTCAGGTACCCTATTAATGAAAATGTACTAAATGCTATGGGAAATTTATATTTCAGGCTTGCCTCGCATGATGTGCTGTAATTGTTCGTTGGTGAAGAATTCTTATGAAATATCATTTGCTGCAACGGGGAAATCAGGGGAACCGAAACGTTGAATAAATGAAATTATGCAGAAATATGAAACGAAAGTGGTTGGATGTTGTATGTTAACCGATGAAAGAAATAGAAAAATTAAATTATTATGATGCATGCAATTAAATGGAGGAACTTGCACAACCCGTATGAGAACTGAGCGGAAATAGATAATGATACGCGTAAAGTAGCGTCTGATAAAGTGACAAGCGCAATTGCAAATCATGGGAAGTATACATTTGTGCACTGTGATCATCTGCAAGTTAGTGATGCCGAATGCATTTCAAAGTAATAATGTGCCGGCCATTCAATAGGCATATTGCGCAAACTCAGTGCAAACGGAATGGTGAGTAGGAATAGCCGAATATATAACACATAAAGGTATGGGTTTATTTACCAATGTTAAAGTGCATGTAAAAAATAAGTAACAGATACCCCAGCTGGTATGCACATATGTATATAGTTCGAATTAAAATACATGTATATATCTATACCATATATATGGTGCATATATATATGTATATGGTTCCATAAATAAAGGAATGTCCGTAGACACAATTGTAGTTAGTATATATATATATATATATATATATATATATATATATATATATATATATATATATATATATATATATATATATATATGGAAAACAATGCTAACACATGCACGTACAATTAGAGGTATTTTTTTATGAATGTAATGTATATGGATTGGTGGTTAGGTGTTGCTCCTCCCAACCCTGACACCCCGTAACTGGTTTCATCCTCCTTTGGACTCATCAGATGGAGATAGCCTGAGCTGGGCTGGACCTCGAGGCTTAGTGTTCAAACCTTGACGCCTTTACCACTATGATTCTTAGGTCCGCGAACAACGCTTGGCACAGCGGTAGAGCGTTCCAGGTGGTATTTGGTGGACCCACTGTGTGGTTCGATTGCGACTTGCAATCTCTATTGATACCTCGGTCCTATTTGAGTAAACCTCGGTCATTACGATCACAAGGACCGTAACCGAATTGGTGGTTAGGTGTTACTATCCTCACAACCCTGACACCCCATAACCGGTTTCGTCCTCCTTTGGACTCATCAGATGGAGGTATCCTGAGCCACCTGGAACTCTTTACCGCTGTGCCGAGCGTTGTTAGCGGACCTAGGAGCCATAGTGGTAAAGGTGTCAAGCTTCGAACACTAAGCCTCGAGGTCCAGCCCAGCTCAGGCTATCTCCATCTTATGAGCCCAAATGAGGACGAAACCGGTTATGGGGTGTC